AAAAAAATGGCAGTGCAGTCCTGCACTTTTATGTCTGCAAGCACTTCTAAAGTCGAATTTCCTCTTGATGAATGGGGTCCATTTAAAGTGGCACACCTACCTTCATCGCCTCGCCGTGGAAGCAATGGTATGGCTCCGAAGCAGGCTCGCAGACATGTTCACAGCCATGACAACAATATCACCAATAAATCGTCAGTAATAAACTGGCACCAATTCTTTCAAAAAAGGTTTGCAAAGCTAAGGAATGATTAATCTCGACAGAAAAATTCCTCCATTGGCCTGCACTGCGATGCTTTTCTGTGATGGCCTTTCAAGTCTTAAGCCAATCAGCTTCACGACCAAGGGAACGGATACTTCCAGAAGTTCTGCTGGAGAGTTAAGCATGAAGCATTAGTGCCAACGGAGAAAGACTCAAGACAAAGCAACGATATTTGTTCGAGTAGCGCCAACTAGCGGTTGTTAGCATTGTTGTTCAGTTCATGCACGCAAGCTAATAACAATGCGGCGCCAATGTTCAGCTCCTCGAGACCAAGCCCCCGTTTCGGTTAAAATTAACCCACTCGGTAGAATGTACCTCAACGACACACAAAAGGCTTCTTTGAGGGCCAAACGAAAAATAAAAAGACGTCTCTTCTGATTTACACCATGCAGCGTCAAACATGTGCATCTCTTTGCCTCTTTGTGTTCCGCTGGTAGCGCAAATGTCTCAGCATGGCTACTTTTCTATTCGTCTTTACAGCGCCTTGAGGAGTAACCTCGGAGCTGCTACAGAACATTAAATTTTGGGAAATGTATAAATAAATCTTCGTTTTAGTTAAGCAGGAGGCTTTTTTCCAATGACTGAATCATTAAAGTGTCGAATGTTTAGTTGGTGATTTTTGTGGTTGTTTAAAAAGAAATAAATAAAGGCTCTCACCTGGATTCAATGTAGTGAGAGGGTGGGGAAAGCATAGGAAAAACCAATCAGACTTCAAAAATAGTAGCTAGTTTTGTTTTCTCTTCCATTCAACAGACATTGATGATGACTCTAACTTCAGTTTAAATTCAAATTCTCTTGAATCCCTCCAAAATCCAATTTCTTTTTTTAGTTTAAAACAAGTCTAGTTAAAAAATTCCGCCATTCAACTGACGAAACGAGGCAAACTGTGTGATGAACGGCAGCAGCTTGTTTGCTGCCAGCGTGACATGCGCCTTCTGCCAGTTCATGACAAACGGAGGTACCCGATTATGTTGCAAACAGATTTGTTGAGCAGTGAAGGACACTAAGGGTGTGTTTGGGTGCTTTCTGAATCGAAGAAAAGTGTGATCACAATTGCTTCTTCACTTTTTTACGAAATACGAAAATACTTAACTTTAACGGACGCTCTCTGTAACGCAAATAGATAGCCATTTCGTGCTAGCACAAAGTTTTGAGCCTATGGAATAGGGGTAAACAGTTTTGCAGATTTAATTCGGTCGCAAAATCCAAAAGTCCAAGGTGTGATAGGGCAAGGGGCAAGGTTAGACACACACACACACACACACACCTGATGCAGGTACACAGTTGGAAAGCAAAGCGGTCATGATGGCCCATTTGAGTTTACTCGGCATGGAGAAAGAATTGAGCGTTAACGAACAGTCATAAAAGTGAGACAGAACTTTCAGCACGGCAAAAAAGTGGACAGCAGAAGTCTGTGAAGGGTGAGAGCTGACAAACAGGTTGATCGAAAGTGAGGAGCCCAAGTTGTCAAGTGAAGGTAGAACTATTATGTTAGATCGACAAGCCAGGTGGATGCGAGTGCGTACTCGGCTAAGCGATGTCGCCTTCTCAACCAAGTAGTGAATGCTTTTGGGAAAATGCACACAGCTTTTATAAAACGTCTCAAGACAAAAAATAAGATTTACTCAAATTGTTACCAGATAATACGGAGATAACACCTCCTTTCCGTCTTGGCCTAAGCACAGAGCTACTCAAGAGTAAGCTCCTCGACAGCAATGAGGTCCTGTACCGCTTTCTCAAACCGAATGCTCTAGTCTTTATATTAAGCATTACTAAATGCTGCTAACGCTATGCTGATCCCCAACTCTCTAATCCTATCCATGAAGTCAAACGGGATGCGTTCATCCTCCACTCAAATCCAACTCATTATACTGATTTTGGTAGTCGAAGGTCGCGGTTCCCCCTTATTCAAATCACTTATAGTATATTTAGTAAGGGGAGTTGGCAATCGAAGAGCAGGTGAACGTAGACTCGCAAAGAAGGAAAATTCTAACCAAACCAACCTGACCAAAATGTTACCTCAAAACAAGAGGTGGGGGAGGAGGAGGAGGAGGAGGGAATTGCAATAAAAAGTATATCATTCAGTTCTTGTAAAAAGGTTGACCATAGGCAGTGCAACTTTTCGATTACCAAGTAAATAGTCGAACGAGAAACCCCACCTCCAGTTTCCTATTCTGACTCTTAAAAGGTCAATTTGTTTAGGAAAGAGAAAACAAGGTAAAACAAGCTCACACAATCAAAAATTAATCGGATCCAGTAAGGCCGCTGATTTGCCTCCCTGTTTTGAGCTTTGGAGCTCAATGGAGTCAAGTCAAAACACCAGAACCGGATCAGATTAGTTATTTGTAGACACCGAAACGACGGGAATAGTTGCACAGCCCCTAGTAAAACCTGGATCGTGGGAGTGTATGTGGGAGTGAGTAATACAGTTTTAATTTTTGGCTATTAAAACCAAATCTACAGTTGAAAGCCCAATAAATCTTGGAGAAGCTAAAAGTAAGCGAGGACTTTTGTAGGTTTGAAAAAACGGTCGTGACAGTGCTATAAAGTTTGCCCTTCCACAGCCATAGCAAGTGACCTCGACCAACTAAGAAACCGTTAATTACGACAGAAGGAAACTTGGGCAGTTGTGCGATGACGTTGCCTGAAACTGAAGGCATGATCATATTCCAACAGCCATTACTGCAAGCGGTATTCAACACGCAAGTGCCGAACTTTGAGAGCTTGGTTCTCCACAACATTGCCTGGGAAGAAGTTTCGCTTTGAAAATGGTTTACACAATCCCTCATTAGCACAGACATGTGAGAGGTCCAAAGGCAAACACAGCAAAAAACCACGTGGCCAATGATTTAGTATTGACGAAGAAGGAAGGCAGGATAAGGCAGCACGTTCGCCTACAGTGAATTAAAGTGTGGACTTACAAGAACCAGGGATCAAGCCTGCTAATGCTGAGTTCACGCGGAAGGTAGCGACAGTTGAAGATAATCCATTTGACCAGATCATCCAGACGGTAGCGATGGGGACCCACAGCCTCGTAGATCTTACCCGGACTGTCGGGCATAGTGAGGCTGTTAACAATGCCCCTGGCCAGATCACCCACATAAACTGGCTGCTTCACAGTATTCTGACCACGTTTCCACAGAGCTACACGCAGTTTGGTGCCGAGGACACAGCGACGCTCTACATATGGGCAGAAGGTGGACAGAAGTAGTAACTTAAGAATTATGCAGATAGCACTCTACATTAAAAATAAGGTGTAGCTGGTGTTGCACCGCGGGTGAACATTTTACTTTAAATAACCTTGTTGAACTAAGTGTTTAAAGTCAAACAATTTACGAAAATCGATGCAATTTAAATTAGCGGTCTTTATAAATTAGTCTAGACTTCGAACCGCATAGAAAGCCACGTTCTCCACCCTTAATTCCAGTTAACTTAAAAACAAAGAGGAATTAGATTTGCAGTGCGCAAATATTAACGAATCTAGAGCCATCGTTAGGGTTTTATGTTGACATTTTATGGAGTCGAGGCACAGTCATCAGTTGAAACGCCGACACCGAACGAAGTACAGAAACCGCACCAGGGATGTGCCTCCAAAGTTTCACATTCCAAACCAGAAAATTTTTAGGTAATGGGAAGACTAATTAAAAAAAAACTTACAAATACTTATGGGCGGTGAACTAAATCAAATGACGGCCAAAACCATCATGAGAGCAAAAGAGGAAGTCGTGATCTAAAACGGAGGTAATATGATATCCTACTGTTCCGAAACACAGGGATTTGAAAACTTAACACCTATTGTTAAGCTTTTCAAGGGAGCATCGAGATTCAGGTGAGTTATAGCTTTGATGCTAGCTGAATGAGATGAGCTAAGGAGTAAGGGTAAAGTACGTTTGAATTTCAGTCCCAAATATGTTTTAATAAAATAGAGGATAAGAAACCTTGCATTGTATACACCTGGACCTAAAAGCAAAACGATACACACAATGCAAGACGCTTATCCATTGTTGGAGTATATAGTCGAATAGGATTTCGAAAAAGAAATCCTGTCGTTTTTTAACAGAGAATAGTGCCATTGTGAATCAAGCAAGTGAAGCTACTTAAATACTATTCTCCACACAGTCCATTTCACCTAGACTGACGGAAGAGTACAACAGTTACAGCTGCTGCTACCTATTGTAATAGGCAACGCCCATACACACACACACCTTGAGAACTAGAGTACTTGGTCAAAAAGACGATACTCGTCGTTCCTCCTTTCTATGCTTTTTACTCTCTACGTCTGTGAAAAGGACCCGAAGGTAGTTACGATAGAATTGCAGAATCTCGAGGCACACATATCAGTCCCAGTTTGAGACGTGCCCCCAATCCCCATCTTCAAATAAAACAGATCAGTTCATAAACCGCCTTATGACCTGCAGGCAATACCGAGCTACGGCGAATAAATATGTAACAAAAGAAGTGATAAAATGTTAACTTGCCGATCAATCGAAGTAAAGTCAGTTCGGGTAAATTCCATTCAGTTTCCGATATTTGTATGAAATGAATAAAGGTTTAACAGTTCCCCTGTTCACAAATAAACTCAGAATAACCCCAATGGACGGCCAGCCGGCGCAATATTTACCAATCGAATAAGGAATGATGTGCTTGGAAGCTTTAAGCGACTTAGCCAAGATTTACCTGCTTAAAAATGTCCATCTAGAATTCCTTTTTCAACACACTCGTGGCGGACAATAAGTGTGCATGACGCGCAAAGCTATCCATCCAGAATCGGTGATGTGAATACCCAAGGCCTTATCATTGCATGCCGCTTGGTTCTGGCAAGCTGTGTCACAACACAGATTGGCTGAGTTTACAGTGGTAGCAAAGCTCTTGCTCGTGGACCAAAAAATTTCTGTTCTAGTTTTTGAAGGAGAGTCAAACAGGAGGTGAAAGATAACGGCAATTTATATTAACTTGTGAGTGAATTATTATCAATCAGTAGGAAATGTGGTAAAATGAATCGTACCAAAATCAATGGGAAGCATCTCCGATTATGCTAAGACTTGATTATTGATCCAAGACTGATAAATAGTTTCAAAGCAAAAACCAGAGAAGAGCTTCGGAAATTCAAATGCGACTAAGAAGTTATTAAAAGCTCACCCCTAGAAGCGTAGTAGCAAAGGAAGTGATCCGAGCTGCCCCAAATATCCGCAGGTCGAAAGATGATGGCATCTGGGCGCTCATTAAGAACGGCCTTCTCGCCAAGGGCTTTCGTGCGACGAAACTCGGAGGGCTTCCAGACAAACCTTTCGGGGTTGGGGCTTTGCGAGAGCGCTGAGATGTGCACGAAACGCTCCACTCCCATTTCCTTGGAAAGGCGGGCTACACGTGCAGCCCCCTCTACATTGACTGCCTCATGGGTGAAGTTGTGCGTGCTATTAAACTTGCCCATACAATTGATAGCCACATTACTGAAGCGCATAGACTTCTTGATCGCCTCTTCGTCTTCCAGATGAAAGGGCTATAAATAACACCGCTACTAAGTTGGAAATTAGTAGGAGGCAAACCTCTTCCGCTTCGAAAGCGAAATTGTGTGCGTGTTTATACTCAAAGCCCATGCGTTGCATACACAAAAATGGCAAACTTCAGCAAATGCTGTAACAAGCGTGAGAGATGGCAGAGACAAAGGGGCAAGACCAAGGATTAGCCATCATAACACAGCTAACCAAGATGTTGAGCAGTTCAAAAGCATGATAAAGTAAACGGAATTCCTGGACCTGATGTGAGATCAACAAAGTAAAACTGTGTTCGTGGAGAAAAATGACAAGGTGTGAAATGATTTGGACGCGATTAGAAAGATGAGGAACCATAGATTGCCAATGACAGTTAGTTTTAAAAGAAACACGTGGAAAAAAGTACCATTATAACGCAAATTACGCATTTGGGTAAATCATAGGTTCCCCTAGAAACGCGCTTACACAGAAAAGGATTTGACCCAGATCACCCATAACTTTAAGGTCGCGAACAAAGTAGGGATCGCCACGATAAGGGACAATGACTTGGGCACCAACTCGACCCAAGTGCGTAATAATGTGTCGACCCAAGTAGCCCGGAGCACCGAACACCGTTACTATCAGTCCATTAAAGGAAGAACGACCTCCAGTACCACGCTTCAAGCTGGTCAGGGAAATGGGTTCAGAAGCATAGCCCCGAGATCGCTGATGGAAAACGTGAGTGGGGAAAGATGACACGACTGCCACTGAGAATTAAAAAAGACACTTAAAAATATGCTACATTCACAACTCAATAGAGATTAAATCGAATGCAATTAACGCAAACTGAGTAGGTTATGGTTTGAGAGACTACACGTAAAATAAAATTTGCGATTTTAAAAGCAGCACCGGACCTAACATCAAAGGCAAAAAAAGGAGCAAAAATATACAGACCGGTTCAAGTACCTACCCCGACCGAAAATCTGACTAGCATATGAAACACCAATGCGCCACACTGCCATATTGAGCCTAGAGCATAGTCATCAAAAACCTACGGACAGTGCGAGACAATTGGCTTATTCTTAAATCCCACTTAAGCCAAGTGAGTTTAAACTAAATTCACAGTAACATTTGTGATACTTGTTCCGTGTCCTGCTACTGCTAGAAGTGTTATACTTATCACTTTTCTGGATTCACGACTTTTATTTCGGCAAAAACAATTTCCTTGTGCAAACATTAAGAAACTTAAAAAGCTTAGATCAAGTACAACTTTACATTTATTACGACGGGTTGGCGCATATTCAAAAGTCAGAACTTTTTTAAAAGGAATCTTATAGTGGTAACGCGAACATTGTTTCGCCCTGTTTACGTGTTCATGTTTTATGCGATTTTGCTCTTGTGTTCACGGACTAGCCTACGGCCGCAGCCAAGCCATAATTTTCTTCTTCTCCTCCCAAAACACGTGCATCTGTCTAACATGACTCTTTTTACCTAGTGTCAAGACGCAGGCCGCTACATTGATGACAGCGGGAAGCCATCACAACTCTTTACCCACCTCCGCTCCACTGGTCGCCCATCGAGACACCCTCCACACGAAGGATACGAGCATATACTTCGGGTGGCAGATGCTTTGCAGTCTTCACAACAGAAGTCTTGCGAATGATGTTCGTGTTTGGCTCCTCCCCATTCCGGCATCCCACAGGCAAGCTAGTGACGCCGTGAACTATTGCGTATTGCATTTTCCTTTTGCCACATCCGCATGTAGATGTCGGAGATGGCACTATGGCAAATGTCTTTCCATGTGGGAGTGTGGTTGATGCCAATTTCCTTGCTAAACAACTGTATTCGACTGGTGTACCAATGTCTAGTCCTGGCACGATCGATGTTCAGCATCAGAGAAGGCTAAGCACAGTACTTTAGTCTCATGGTGTCTGTTGACTGGTGCGGCTGGTTAATAAGTGATTTCTTGGAGTATTGAGTATGTTGTGATGTCTAGCGTGGAAGGTGCACCTTAATAAAACCCCGGGGCTATTACTCAAAAGAATAGAGGCGCAGTGTGATGCTTCGTTTACTTTGTCATCTCTGTCATTGGCTGTTGCTTTGGTATTTGTCTGCCTCTTCTGTAGGCAAGCCAAAATCTACGCCTTTCTTTTCCTTTGAAAATATTTGCATTTAGGCGCTGTAACACAAATTTTGTTGCCCTATTGTGTGGCTTTGTTCACTCCCACACCAAACTAGACCAAACAAAGTTCTTTTTGTTGTGATTAATGACTTAGGCCTTTAAACATGTGTCCAAACAACCGACTTCCTCCTACCAGTTATAGCTGTAGGAATGGTAAGACAACGTAATCTGTAATGCGTGATTCAAATGCAGCCTTATCGTATTATACACGATCGGTAGCAGAGGCCCTCAGTATTACCGTTGTGTACTGCTTCGTTTGCCGGATTACCAGTCTTGGTTACAATCACTTCGACGTCTCAATGTCAGTTCGCATGTGAACTGTCTTGATTAGCAGTCCACCTGAATGACTGCCGGTCGCTTAATATTTACCTTGCTCATGTGCACGTAAGTTGGTCTAGGAGTGAAGCCAAAGCCAAATCTCTCCAGTTTTCGCCTTGATAACATGTATTCAGCCATATTAACTGCCTTCTTCCATTTTGTGGGAAGTCCCGGAATGCTGCAGGTACGCCATAACGTACACATATTGTGTATGTGATTTCTGTCTTTCCGGGACAGTACACATCATGTCTCCAATCCTATGACATTCCAAAAAATGTCATACTTTAAGCCCTTAAGCATACTCCCACCTTAGGCAAATTATGCACCGCAAATCCAGAATTACTTCGTATCTCAACTCTATTTCCATGTTTCCAATGCGTTTACGGTTGGGTTTTTTGGTGTGGACCCTCAAGTGACCGTCATTTATACCGTCTGTCAAACAATCAAGCAAGCCATTGGCTTTTGCATGCACGAGTGGAAATGTGGCTGCGACACTTGTTTTATTTTACTGTTTCTCTTGGGGGAGGGGGGCACTCGATTTGCGGACTCTCTCTTCACACGCCTTACAATTGAGTTGTGCATTTTTAACACTGACTTTTTGCGTCCTCGAGTGCTTGTCGTAAAGCCTGCACTTGAATTAGTTGATTGTTCCAGCACAGTTGTGGTACTTTGTTTATGCGACCGCCTGATGTCTGGCGGTCACTTTGGTTTGTGTCTTGGCCTGGTTTCTCGGCCAAATTAAAGCTCAACACTTCCTTGTCCTCCCAGAATGCGTGCAAGAAGCCCAAAGTAATGCCTTCTTACCTAAAGTAGGAAGGCTTAAGGCGCCTCAACACTACCCACTTCCCACTTTTTTTCATCTGTTAGCGTTTAGGGTACTTATGCAACACTTTGCTTGAATGATTGCCAATTTCGATGGCGGAAACTGTACCAACTACATTTCTTTTCCTCGGTGGGCTAACTGTATGGCCATACCAAATGCCTCATCCCTTTCCTTCTGGGGGTCACTATGACGTCTTGGGGTGCTACAATCCACATCTACACTTATTCACCTGTCTGGATTTTGGATAGTTCGTAATGAATCACAAGAGCTATCCACAATTCACTTACTTTTATCGAAAAACTTTGAAAACTGTCAATTGTGTCAGATAATGTGGGG